TTGAGGCAACCCCAAATGCAGTGTAGTCAAATCCTTCGAGCGTAAGGTAGTGAAGCGACAGTAAGGATAATTATGATTTTAATGAGATTGATAATGGCCTTGTTATTTGCTTTAAAAAATGTTAATCAAGTTCACACCAAATGTAAATAATAAACTGTTTTTATTGTCATTGAGAAAGCAACAAATCAACTTCACTACTGATAGATGTTATCAAATACCTAATATACATCAGATTTCTCGTATTGCTACAAATTTCAATACCAAGTTTGAAGAGCATAACAATCTTCTCCTTAAAATTAATGGCTTCTATCATGACTTACTAATTAATAATGATTGATAAAAAATAAAGTTACAAAAAGGGGCATTAAAAATTTTGACAAAGTTTTATTTTTTAGTGACAATGACATTAAGGTATTCCGTCCATCATTGGAACCCTCCACTTTGAAGAGACGAATAGCCAAATTCAACCAAATTTCTATGGAGTGAGGCCGGGGTTTCAAACCCCAGAAACCCAAATTTTTTTGTTTTTCCCTTTTTTTTTTTAAAATTTTTTTTTTTTTTGAATCTTTTCGGCAAAAAAAGGTTTAATTTTAATATACCCTAATAGGTATTTTTTGTGAAAAAATTTGCAAAATTAAAAAAAAATGACCCCTTTTTAATTTTCAAGTCATGAAAATAAAAACTAGAGGGGTAAAATATTTTTTTTATACAGATCAATCATAACGTCATATAAAATTTTTGGAAATTTTTGGTTTAACCCCCTTTTTTAATCTTTATGCGGGGAGATTTTTCTACAACCACTTAATTTTTCTTATTTTTTTAAATATATGGTTGTTAGCTAATTATCTTAGTTCTAAAAAAAAATTGACAAGAAATCATATTTCATACAGATGACCCCGGTGACCATGATTTGGACAATCTTGATAGAGGTCCGCTTGATGATGCTTCATTCCAAATATCTAAGCTGTTCTACTTATGGTTCTAGAGAAGAAGATTTTTTAATGTTTCCCTATATATCAGTATGTGAAACTAAGTTTGCCCCACGGCGGGGTCATTTTGTTGCCAGGGACCATGATTTGAACAATCTTGGTAGAGGTCTACTTGATGCTTCATGCCAAATATCTAAGCTTTTGGCCTTATGGTTATGGAGAAGAAGATTTTTGAAAAGTTGCAGTTTGAAGACAGACAACAGACAAAGTGCGGTCACAAAAGCTCACCTAAAAAGAATGTTTAAATCAAAAATCTTCTTCTCTAGAACCTTAAAACAGCTTAGATATTTTTGAAACTTAGTTTCACATAGAGATATATAGGGAATACATTCAAAATTTTTTTTTCTCTAGAACCATAAGGCTTACGGCTTAGATATTTGGCTTATATCTGGGCAAACTTAGTTTCGAATAGGGATATACTGTATAAGGAAGACATAAAAAGTCTTCTTCTCTAGAACAACAAGACGTTGAGCTTAGATATTTGACATTTGTGAAGCATCACCTAATAGAAAACTAACAAAATTGTTCAAATCATGATTCCAAGGGTCATAATGACCCACCCCAGGGCTTTTCATGTTAAATTATGTAGTAAAACTTTGAAAAAAATTCTTTTCTGTAACCACAGGGCCTAAACCTTAGATATTTTGCATGCAGGATTGGATTGTAGACATCTGTCAAGTTTGCTGAATTTTGACCTTGTCTTTGAAATACTTCTTTTAAAGAGACTAACCCAGCTTTTGTGATTATTAATTTTTTGAAATGAAATATCGTGAAAAAATGAAATACCACTGCATAATTTTAGTGTTATATGATACAGTGTGGTTGATTTTTCTTGAATAAGAAACTTTCAGCATTGTAAAGTTTTGACAGTTCAATGCGTCAAAAAATAAATCCGTTGCAATGGTTTGTTTTGTAAACATTGGTCTAAAAATAGAATAAATGTGATATAAACACACGTGATTTACCTAATAAAACCTTAAAACCACTATATATTCAAATTTATTAGTTGTTAAATTTTTCATGCTTATTTAATAATAACGCCATAATCAAACTACTTTTTCTGGGTTAGTCCCTTTAAGCTACAGACTTAAAATTTGGGCCAGGTGCACAGTTTAAGCTACAGTACCTTAATTATACCCCCACCACAAAATGTGGGGGGGGGGGGGCTATAATGGATTCGCTTTGTCGCGTCGGTCGGTCGGTCCGTCCGTCCGTCCGTCTCCATTTTCGTGTCCGCTCTATAACTCCTATACCACTTGAAGGATTTTCTTCAAACTTGGCTCAAATGTTCACCTCAGCAAGGGGATGTGCAGAACCCATGTTGCCCATGTGTCAGCTCAAGGTCAAGGTCACAATTGAAGGTCAAATATCAAACACAATCATATATTAGACAGTATGTCGTGTCCGCTCTGTAGGTCCTACAATAATTGAAAGATTTTCTTCAAACTTGGCTAAAATGTTCACCTCAACAAGGGGATGTGCAGAACTCATGTTGCCCATGTGTCATTTTAAGGTCAAGGTCACAATTGAAGGTCAAATATCAAACAATCAAATATTACACAATATGTTGTGTCCGCTCTGTAAGTCCTACACTAATTGAAAGATTTTCTTCAAACTTGGCTCAAATGTTCATTTCAACAATGGGATGTGCAGAACCCATGTTGCCCATGTCTCAGCTCAAGGTCAAGGTCACAATTGAAGGTCAAATATCAAACAATCAAATATTACACAGTATGTCGTGTCCGCTCTGTAAGTCCTACACTTATTGAAAGATTTTCTTCAAACTTGGCTCAAATGTTCACCTCAACAAGGTTATGTGCAGAACCCATGTCACTCTTTTGCCGGCTTAAGGTCAAGGTCACACTTGAAGAACAAAAATTGACTTAGAAAATGTTCTTTAATTTTAACATATATCTGAATATTTCTGAATCTAGGAAAGGTATTTGCTTGAAACTTAAAATATAAATGAAGTGTCACAATTAAGATATGCTGGTCAAGTTTCATAACTCTGTATTGCATTTTAACAAAGTTATGCCCCTTTTTAATCTTCAAATTTACATACAATCACATAATAGACAATATGTTGTGTCCGCTCTATAAATCCTATACTAATGGAAGAATTTTCTTCAAACTTTTCTCAAATGTTCACCTAAACAAGGTTATGTGCAGAATCCATGTCACCTTTGTGCAGGCTAAAGGTCAAGGTCAGACTTGAAGGTCAAAAATTGACTTAGAAAATGTTCTTAGATTAAAACATGTTCTTGAATATTTCGGAAACTAGCATAGGTATTTGCTTGAAACTTAAAAGATATATGAGGTGTCACAATTACGATATGCAGGTCAAGTTTCATAACTCTGTATTGGATTTTGACAAAGTTATGCCCCTTTTTAAGTCTTTAAATTTACATACAATCAATACTAGACAATATGTTGTGTCCGCTCTATAAATTCTATACTAATGGAAGGATTTTCTTCAAACTTTACTCAAATGTTCACTCCAATTGGGCGATGTGCAGAACCCATCTTACCCTTGTGCCAGCTGAAGGTCAAGGCCACACTTGAAGGTCAAAAATTGACTTATAAAAAGTTTAGTATATTGGGAAAATGAAAGGTTATTTGTAACTGTTTCGAACATGATTTGATAATAGATATTTTTACTATTACCTGTACAATTAGTCTTTTTTTCACCAGAGATAATTTCTTTTTATGTATTTGTGTCACTTAAGTTATTCCCTTAACCACCTTTCCAAGTTGTCTTCTGTCAAGGACATTGGTGGGGGTATGAATCGCATTCAGCGATAGTTCTAGTTTTGACCTAGTTACCTACTTTCTTGTTTTTTGGACTCGCAGACTTGATATCATGAAATTCAATATTGTCACACTTTGAGGTATTGTTTTGAATTTTAAAAAACAGCTGACTTGGATTTTGACCTAGATATATAGTTTTGTTTTTGTTACAAAGGTTAGGTTTTTGTTGCAAAATTAGATGTATTTGTTAAACACTGGTTCAAAATTGCTTCAGATATATAGCTTATATATTTGAGATGAAGTTATAGTTGTAGCTTGGGTATTGAGATGCAGCCCCAGTGGACATCATTTACTAATGTTTATCCCAAAGTTATTAATCTAGGTAGCAGTTATCAAAATAAAAAACTGTTGCAACTTTTGTCTTATGATGATGTTAGACATCAGAAACCATTAATTTTGATATCAGAATTGGGGAGAAAAAAAGATTATTGATCACCATCTAGAATTTCAATAGCTATGACTCTTATATCTGCGTTATCTGTCATTTGAGGGGGAATAAGTTAGATTTTTAAGATTACACCTTTCTTGCTGTTAATTTGTGTATAGTCACATGATTCCCTTTACTAAATAAATAGATCTATCTTTAAAACTACAGACTTAAAATTTGCAGTATGTGCATAGTTGAGCTACAGTTTTGAATTTTACATCATCTAACCAAAATTTTAATCTAACGACCTACTTCCTTGATTTTGTACTTACAGACTTACAATTTTGAATAACTTAAGTGCATAAGTTTAGATAAACAGCTGACCTAGGTTTTGACCTAGTGACTTCCTTTGTTTTGTTACAAACTTTGAAATCTTTGTTGCAAAATTAGAACATGTCAAAATGCATTCAGATATAGCTTATGTATTTGATAAGAAGTTAGAGATATAGCTTAGATATTCTCATCATCTAATGGAAAGTAAATAATGTTTATCCTAGAGTTTATCTAGGTTGTAGTGATGATGATCAGGACAGAAAACTGAAGAAAACTTTTGTTTTCTGGTGAAGTTTAGTTTATGCAGAATTTATTTTAGTTCGATTGTGTAGGAAGCTGTTAGCTTAGGTGAAGTTTGATGAGCAATTTAGGGCCACCATGGCCCTCTTGTTTAATCAAGCACTGAGAATACTAGTAGAAAATGTAGTTGAGCATCATGTCTGTTTGACATCTCTTGAAAAGCACATACTTCTGCTCTTATTAGAGTTATTGTTTCTTTGCAGATAATGAAGCCCTTTTTGAAGACATGAAAGACAAGTCTGAAGGAGACTGGGCAATTCGAGTTGCACAACATCTTTTAGTCCAGCTGTCTGTGTACGATTCCTACTTAATTGACAGCTACAAAGGCTGTAATTTTTCTTGCTGCCCTTGCCCTAGAAAAGACCATTTGCTAGGCTTCACTTGTGATACTAGCTTTGGTAAGTTTTTTTAAGCTCATCTGTCACATAGTGACAGGGTGAGCTTTTGTGATCATGCGTTGTCCGTCGTCCGTTCATGCGTAAACTTTTTCTTTAAAAATCTTCTTCTTCAGAACCACAATAGCTAGGGCTTAGATATTTGGCATGTAGCATCACCTGGTGGACCTCTACCAATATACTTCAAATCATGAACCCCGGGGTCAAAATGACCCCACCCCAGAGGTCAATAGGTTCAAAATAGTGTAAAATAACAGTAAAAAATCTTCTTCTACAGAACCAGAACAACTAGGGCTTAGATTTTGGCGTGTAGCATCATCAGATGGACATCTACCAAAATACTTCAAATCATGATCCCCCGGGCAAGATTACCATGCCCCAGAGGTCAATTTGTGAAAAATAGTGTAAAATAACCTTAAAAAAATCTTTTTCTCCAGAACCAGAACAACTAAGGCTTAGATTTTTTTCATGTAGCATCATCAGATGGACATCTACCATATACTTCAAATCATGATCCCCCAGGTCAAGATGACCCCACCCCAGAGGTCAGTAGGTTCAAAATAGTGCAAAAGAACAATTAAAAAAATCTTCTACAGAACCAGAACAACTAGGTCTTAGATGTTTGGCATGTAGCATCATCAGATGGACATCTACCAAAACATTTCAAATCATGAACCTTGGGTCAAAATGACCCTGCCCCAGGTCAAGGTTCCTTCGACCCCATGTAGTAAAATGGTTTCAAGATGATAACTGAAGAACGCTTTGGCCTATTATCATGAAACCTGACAGGGAGGTTGTTCATCACTAGTAAATGACCCTATTGATTTGAGGTCAGTAGTATTTAAAGGTCAATGTCGCACGGTCCCATTATAGTAAAACAGTTTCCTGATTATTAAAGAATGTTTGGGTATATGATGACAAGGTGACACAGGTGAGAGATTTAGGGCCATCATGGCCCTCTTGTTGGCATGTAGCATCATGTGATGGACTTCTACTGAAATACTAAAATCATCATTGCAGGGGTAAATATAACCCCTCCCAAGGAGGTCAATAGGTGCAAAATTGATGCAATATAGACTGTTACAGTACAATAGTATACTCAAGAACACTTTTGTAAATTATCAGGAATCTTGATAGGTTGGTTTGCCATGACTAGATGATTATTACTTGAGGGTTAGGTCAATAGGTCAAAGGTCAATTGCACCCATAGCAGTAAAATGTTTTCCATATGATAACTTATGAACACTTAAGCCTATTATCATGAAGCATTGGGGGGAGATTAGTCATGACTAGCCAATGAATCATATTGATTTTGAGGTCAAAGGTGAATGTCAGGGGTACCTGTAGCAGTAAATTGGTTAACTTTTGATAACTGAAGAACGCTTGGGCTAAGGATCATGAAACTTGATAGGGAATTTTTTCAATCATTAGCAGATAAGCCATATTGATTTGAGGTCATTAGTATTTAAAGGTCAAGGTCCCAGGGTTCCATAATAGTAAAACAGTTTCCTGATCGTAACTCAAGAATGTTTAGGCCAATGATGACTTGATGACACAGGTGAGCGATTCAGGGCCATAATGGCCATTATGGCCCTCTTGTTATAGCTGTCTTGCCTATCTTAAAGTGTTTTTAGAGTTATCATATTCTATTTATACCTGGGTTGTCATTATCAGCTTGACCTGCACTTGACCTTTTTCATAAACTTTAAAACAGTTGTAAGTAATTCATATAAAGAAGTAAAAGTGGGACCATCCATGTCCAAAGGACCAGCTTTAATTATTAGGTCAATATCTGTAACCAGAAATCTGTGTGTATATTTTTGAGAGCTCATCAAACCATATGAAGTCACCATTACCATCATGATATTGCAGTATTTGAATTGTGCCAATTATATAAAACCTAACCCTGACTGGGGTCACATAGCATAGATACATATACATTAAAAGGTAAATCGATGCCTTGGTGCGAAAGGGTTGTAACTCATTATTTCACCGAAAGTGGTTTTATGGTGTTTTTCAATGTAGAAGCAATATACACACATGTTGTAAAAATATTAAACTTGAAAGCTAAAATTAAACTACCAAAAAAGTATAATTGTCCAAAGGTTGTAACTCAAACAGACATATTTTGTTGGTGCGAAACGGTTGTAACTTAAGTTACAACCGTTTCGCACCAACATTTTGATAAAATTTTGAATAAATTCTAGTGCAAAACAGTTGTATCTCAATATCTTATATCATATTCTGTGAAATATTTAGTGGATTATTTCTTTCAAACTAATTGACAAGTTTATAAAACAGTCTCAGCTTCTGTATCCTTGTTATTAACATAATTGTTAAGCTTTCATTCAGACATAAAACAAGAATTTGAATAACTTACACATATTTCAAACATAAATCAATTCCAAATGCTTGTAAAAGAAACAATATCATAGTACATTGCTATATTTGACTAACAGTACTGTTACAGTGATTTTTTCTCAACATAAAAATTGTTATTGGTATAATTAATGTTGCATTTTTTGCAAAATAGCATGAAAAAGTAATGGACCTATTTTGGTTTTACGAAAATGAAATTACTGTAACTCAAAATAAATTTATTATAAACAATTGTCATACAATATTTTATGATTGTATCTGCCTATAACACTTGCGAGAGGGGTTGGCAGTACTCAGAGATAAAAAGATAGTTTTGAGACTTTTGAAAACATGTCAAAGTTAAATTGCATACCAATACATGCACAGTGCTTTAACTCACTATCTGTCTGGAGCTTGCTTGTTAACTGGTTCATTTTTTCTGGTTTTTATTTGTTTGGGTCGTCAGACCAAACAAATAATGGTAGCGAAAATTCAGACTCTAATGCTGTTAATTGCAAGTGCCGAAAGTAGTCCGCTTTTTTGAAGCGGTTACTTCCCTTTATATGTAACACTTAGGCCGAAAAATTTAGGGGAGATCACTGCGTCAATATGGTCACATGACAGGCGGATTAATTTTCAAGCAAAATAATTCCCGAATGGTCGAAGATTTCTAATATTGTTTTATTCTTTATAAATATACATGCTTATAGTAAGCGCCGTGATTATTTACACAAGTGTTAAACAACAGTTAGCGTCGTTACAAACCCTAAATAGAATAATATGGTTTTCTTCAGGCCGTTATCACAGAAATGCACCGAGGTCGAGGGGTTAGCGCGCTTGCTTAGGAAGTGAGAGGTCTGGAGTTCAAATCCCACTTACAGCAACATATTTTTTTTTTTCAAATTGTTTAAGTCAAATAAACATTAGATCGAATATCAGTGTTGCAATTAGTTCTATAGTCAATCTACTACAATTAAAACACTGGAAAGCATTGGTGACACTATACAAAAACAAATTGTTTTATAATCTCACAACCTTCACCTTTCTGACATTCTGAGACCCAAACAAATTCAGCGCCTTCTGTGCTTTGATTACATATTGTGACGACAGGGAAAGAGACAGGGAAGGAGATGACAGTAGAAAATAGAGAAAAACAGAATCCCTAAAGAAAGTCCAACACAACAAAATTGAAAATGTTGCAGGCTCGGTTTGATTGAGCCTGTTCATGGAAAGTACTGGAAAGTGCAAGTTACCGTCCACGCCCCCTAGCACTGGCTTATATATAAATATAGAAAAGTCATATTCAGATGCTTAAACATTTAGTACATTTTTCTTGGATGACTGGGAATGTGTTTTCATTTTTGCCTAAGATACAAAAGAGAAAGAACATCAAAACAATCGGCAATCTGATTTATACTCTCATACAAATCCGACAGCCTTGTGTTTCGATGCTTTTTTAATTACTAAATGTTAAAATAACTTAAAGAAATTATACAATTATTACTCAATTCTTGATTTGGTTTTAAACTTACATGAATTACTTTTATCACTTACATGTATTACTATTGGAATATTTTCATGTCTTGTCAAAGACAAATTGTATAAATATTGTATCACAAATATCTGCTGATTGGACAAAAGAAAAAGACTTAAAGACTTTCCATTAAACTGCAAGCCAACAGTATGATGTATGGTTGAATTACACAGATAAACAGGCTACATGTAGGTCTAGCTTAATACAAGTTACTAAGGTCTATTATTTAAGAAATAATATATCACAAACTGTGATTTTATCACTCAATAAAATCACTGTTTGGAGTCGGATGTGTGAAATTACGAGGGCATAGCCCGAGTGATATAATGATGCACATTCAACAAACAGTGATTTTATCAAGTGATTCCAAGCAATTTGCATATATATTATTTTGATTCTAACACGACATCAACAAATAAAATTTTAATGCTGCCGTACCTTATATTTATCTAAATTGCGCCTGATTTGTTTTCATACTAATTTTCAGCACGTCACATTTTTAGTGGTTACTTTGCGTGTATAATGACTACATCACATGTCTTAATATAGAATGTCAAACAGTGATTTTATTGCATAATAACGCACACTTTTGGTTCTTCTATGTTCAATAGGGAAAAATGCGGGTCATATTAAAATAATAAGTAAAATATGTTATTGACCCTTTGTTTTCTGTTAGATAAAAGTAAATTATCAGATATATTCTATCTGCTATTAAAAATCATTCATAAAGATATTATCACTTCCTCAGCTGTATGTGTGTTTGTGTGCACACCTGTGAATTTTATTGGGGTCACAGGGGATTGCATTTTGTAATTGTTATTATTTGCAGGCCTTATTTTTTTTTCTCATTTAATTACTGACTGATTTATATAATTATAAACGATGAAATTTGGGACTGTAAAGAGTTGTAAGAATAGCATGAGCTTAGAAGCTTAGAACATCTATAATATTTATCATCTTTCTCATACTTTTGGCTTAATAGTAAAGAAGATCCAGGACCTGGATAATTCTTTAATATATAGAATTTGTACACAAAAGCACATCCTAGGAATTATCTAAGTTTTCAAATTAAGAAAACCCTTGGTATAGAATAGATGGAAAATAAAATAAGAGTATTCCCATTTTCAAAAGGCTTATATTAACAAAAATAATGTGTCTTAGATGGTTTTGTCATTATGTAAGTTGACATTTTGCCAAAAATTTACCTTTGAGTCTTGCAAAAACATACATGTAAATGCATATTTGGTACTTATGATGGGTTTGACAATCTAAACTGTGTGTCGCATAGAAAAAATATTATATATAAAGTGAATTTCTTTAAAAAAAATCATTTGACTGAAATTATATTTTAAAAACATATAATTTGAAGGTTTTTCACTGAAATATCCAGGCAATATGTTAAATTAGTTCATACTTAACACAACTAAGCTTGGATCTCTCCATTTGACCCATTACATTGATCAGAATTTAAAGCAAAAATTTAGTTACAACCCTTTTGCACCAAATAATTTTTTTGAAATTTTTTATTTTTTTGGTGCGAAAGGGTTGTAACTGAAACTTTATCAATTATCTCTTTATGCTGACAAAATAAAATAACCTTTCCAATCAATTATATATCAGTAATTGAATTAAAGCCAAAAATCAAAATGAAAGAAGAATTTATTAGAATGTAAAAGAATAAATAAGTTTTTTGTCTCTCCTGAATAATTTCAAAATATTGAGTTACAACCCTTTCGCACCAAGGCATCGAAATGGAAGCACTGAAAAGTCAGAAGCTAAAAAAATTGTAGTATTTGTATTGTCCACCGTAATGAATGAAGATAAGGTGAGCTAGTATTTTGATCTTGTTTTCCCTTTGCCGTCCATCAGTCTGTCTGTCCGCATTCAGCTTGTTAGCTGAAACTGCTGATTGGATTTTGACAAAACTTCATAGGAATGATAAGTACCAAGTGTAGTTGTTCATGCCACCATCACTTCGCTTCACTGCATAAAATGGCTGTTAGAGCTAAAATAGAAAAATCTTGTCCGGCCTTCACAGCTCAAACCGCTGGTTGGATTTTGATGAACCTTCATAGGAAAGATTAGTACCAAGTGTACTTTTGTATGCCACTGACATGTTTGGCTTCGCTGCACAAAATTGGTGCTATAGCTAATCATGATCTGGATGACTAAAATGGCTGCACAGCTAGAAATAGTAAAAAAAACTTGTGCAGCCTTCACAGGTCAAACCGCTGACTGGGTTTGAATAAAACTTCACAACTCAAGTTATGTAGGCCATTGGCATATTGTGTTTTCTGCAAAGAATGATTGCTAGAGCTTAAAATACAAATAATCTTCTCTGGCCACCTTTTTTCTCCATTTTTGAGCTCACATTTTTGGAGACATCTGCTTTTGTCAAAATCAATTCTAGTTTCTATTGTTTCAGGTTGTGAAAACAGCTGGCATGGTAAACCTGATATCATTGTCCAGGATATACCAGTAACTGTTCAGATGGAAGGTATGCCTGCACTTCGACCAGAACCATCCGCAGAAACAGCAGTTTCATCAAAGAAAGACAACAAGTTTTTGCAACAGCACAAAGCTCAACTTAAGGCACAGACAATTACATTTTCTCCTTTACAGGAAAAAACAAACAAGTGCAAGTTAAGAAATTCCCTTGTTCCAGGCATAGGAATTAGTACAAAATATTTACTTGTGAATTTTTATGATTCAGTTCATGATGTTCTCCTTACATCAAAACCTCTTACGATTTTTAAAGGAGAGGAATTGATGTACTCAACAATACTGTTCTTGTGGCTAACACTGAACTACAGGCTGCTTTGTTCAGGCCTTACGGAAACAATGAAACCATTCAAAGCTGGTTTCTTTGATGTGGTGGATATATCCACCTTCAGAGAAAATGTGAGAAGACCACTGCATGTGTCACATGAAGATGATGATGATGATGATGATGACCCCACAGACAACCCTGGTCTATCATTTAACCCACCCCCCTCATTACTTAGTAAATATATTGATCCATAACAAACAGAAAAGGCTGTCTACAGTTTGTCGCAATGAAATTACAGTGTGGGGGATCATGTGACCTAAAACAGTCTCTAAAGAAAAGTCAATTGACAAAAAAATCTAGGCAATACATATTAACATAATAATTTTTTGTTTGACCTAGGGAAAGCTACGCAGCATAAAATATACTTCCAAAATCATTATCTTATTTAGGTTCATAGATTACCTCAAAGTTTTAAACGTATCAAAACCTCGAGGTAATCTGTTAAACTCAATTATATGGAAGTTTTGTGCATTAACCATTAAAAAGGAAAAATGTAGCTGCTTAGACTGCGTTATGTCATACTAGACTTCATTTTAGGTACGGGTCATTTACTTTGATTTTTGTCATATTACTTTGCTGTAGAGACTATTTAAAGTCACATGATCCTCCACTCTGTTTAGCATTTCATGTTAACTTTTGTATCATAACATGGTGGGTCTAAAATATGTAGGATGAGTGTCACACTGAAAATGGGAACCTATATGATTTTGTTTACATGTACATATCATGCATACTAGTATCCCAGATGGTTCATTCATAATGAGTCTTCCAGAACTTTTTGAAGTCTGTGGTTTAAATTTTTTGCTGAACTTTTTTAAGAGAAAATAGTCATGCTATTATCATAACCATATGGCCTGCAGCAGCTTCTAAGTTTATTCAGATTTTAGCCCACCTAAGTATACATGTATGCTCAGGGTAAGTAATGCTGATTGTCTTGTATTTGAAATTATCGCTCCTATCACTGAGATACACACAGACATATGAGCGATTCAGAACTCTCTAGTTCTACAAATGTAATGTATTGCTGTACAATATCAGTCAGCTAAATTGTTAAATTCTTTAGTACATTTTGATTAAATGAAACCCTAACAACTTGCATTGTTATAGTCCTAGACAATGTTTTCATTTTAAGTAGTTTCTTGTTAAAATCTGCATGTACATAATTGAAAATAAAATGAAATTTATGTACACAAATTTTTATCTGCCATAAATAGACAACCCCTGATACTTAATATGAGTAGTAAATATTATGTTTTCTGCATGTCATCTCCTTGTTCTGCTTATATTTTTAGCTCACCTGTCATGCAGTGACAAGGTGAGCTTAAGTGACTGCACTTTGTCTGTCATCCGTCGTGAGTGTGTGCCTGCATCCGTCAACAGTTGCTTCAAACAACATCTCCTCCTTAATCACTTGTTGGAATTTAACCAAACTTCACAGGAATGATCGTTCGGTGAAAGTCTACTAAAATTGTTCAGATGGTTCCTATCTGTTGTACAGTTTGGCTGTGAGGCCCTAAATGGGGTCTTCAAAGTGCAACTTTTCAAAAATCTTGTTCTCCATAACCATAAGGCCAAAAGCTTAGATATTTGGCATGAAGCATCATCTAGTAGACCTCTACCAAGATTGTTCAAATGTTGGTCCACAGGGTCATAATGAGCCACCCTGGAGCTTTTCATGTTAAATTATATAGTAAAACTTTGAAAAAAAATGTCTTCTGTGTAACAGGGCCTAGACCTTTAATAATTTGCTTGTATGATTGGATTGGAGACATCTGTCAAGTTTGCTGATTTTTGACCTTGACATACTGACCTACTTATTTGTCTTTTAAGCTACAGACTTAAAATTTGCACCATTTGCATAGTTTTAGCTACAGTTTAGAAACATAGTTTTAGCTACAGTTTAGAAAGGGGGCGTCCGTGGCCGAGTGGTTAGAGTCGCTGCAACTTCGAATCACTTGCCCCTCACCGCTGTAGGTTCGAGCCTCACTCTCGGCGAGATTCTTTCATGTGAGGAAGCCATCCAGCTGGCTTGCGGAACGTCGGTGGTTCTACTTAGATGCCCGCCTGTGCCTGAAATAATGTCCAGAGGGGCATCTGGGGTCTTCCTCCACCATTAAAGCTGGAAAGTCGCCATATGACCTTAATATGTGTCGGTGTGACTTAAAACCCAACGCAAAAAAAAAAAAGAAAAAAAAAGAAAAACAGTTTAAAAAATCAGCTAACCTTAATTTTGACCTAGTGACCTACTTTCTTGTTTTTGTACCTGCAGACTTGAAATTTGGAATATTGGCACAGTTTGAGGTATAGTTTTGAATTTTGAAAATTTAACTTAGAGTTAATCAGATTAACTCTAAATCTAGGTCGCAGCTATCAAGAGAGAAAACTGTTGCAACTTTTTGTCTTATGGTGACATTAGAAAGGTGAGCAATTCAGGGCCACTATGGCCCTCTTGTTAAGAAGGATTTATGGTCCTTTTAAGTCTATATGTATTTTAAACATATTTTTTCCACAATAAATATAATTATATTTATTTGGATTTCTATAAATCTTCATTATTTTGTATCACAAGAATGTTACTGTTTTAGCCCACCTGTCACATAGTGACAAGGGGGGCTTTTGTGATCATGCATTGTCCGTCGTACGTCTGTATGTGCGTCCGTCCGAGTGTAAACTTTTTTTAAAAAAATCTTCTTCAGAACCATAATAGCTAGGGCTTAGATATTTGGCATGTAGCATCACCTAGTGGACCTCTACCAAAATACTTCAAACCATGATCACTGGGATGAAAGTGATCCCCATCACAAAGGTCAATAGGTCCAAAAAAGTGCATATTAACCTTTGAAAATCTTCTCCAGAACCAGAATAGCTAGGGCTTAGATATTTGGCAAGTAGCATCACCTAGTGGACCCCTACCAAAATACTTCAAACCATGATCCCCAAGGTCAAAATGACCCCAGGCCAGAGGTCAAAAGGTACAAATTGTGCAAAAATGCCTTTGAAAATCTTCTTCAGAACCACAATTACTAGGCCTTAGATATTTGGCATGTAGCATCAAGTGGGCCTCTACCAAAATACTGCAAGTCATGATCCCCGGGGTCAAAATGACCCCTGGCCAGAGGCCAAAAGTTACAAAATTGTACAAAAATACCTTTTAAAAAAATCTTCTCCAGAACCAGAATAGCTAGGGCTTAGATTTTTGGCAAGTAGCATCACCTGGTGGACCCCTACCAAATTACTTCAAACCATGATCCCCAGGGTCAAAATGACCCCAGGCCAGAGGTCAAAAGGTACAAAATTGTGCAAAAAAAACATTGAAAATCTTCTTCTTCAGAACCACAAAAGCTAGGGCTTAGACATTTGGCATGGAGCATCACCTGGTGGACCTCTACAGAAATTGATCCGTGGGGTCAAAATGACCCCTGGCCAGAGGCCAAAAGGTACAAAATTGTACAAAATTAATTTTCTTCTCCTTTGGAAACAATGTAGCTAGGGCTTAGATATCTGGCATGTAGCATCACCTACATGTAGTTGATCTCTACCAAAATACTTCAAACAATGATCCCGGGGTCAAAATGACTAAGAGCCAAAGGTCTTAAATACTAGGGCTTAGATATATATATAGTACCTTAAAATAAAATAAAGGTTTGAGTACCAAGTTAAAAACCTTTGCTTGGGTTGTCTTTACCAGTTTGTCAGCGAAATTTGTGCAAACACATTAGTAGCCAAATGCTAGTTGAAAGCCACCTTCGTTATGTTGAACAGAGACTGGTTATGCAGAGTGATAACACTTTACTATTAGTATTTCATGAATTATGACCATTATACCTGTGTTTATCTATAAATTTTACATGTAATAAAGTAGTTCACTGTGCATGTCCATGTTTGTGTTTCACCTTAGTGTACTGTCATTTGTGTTTGCAAATATATGGTAAGTAGGCACATACCGCTTGTCTATAAGCCCTGCACATATTAAATGTAGGTGCATATTTTTAGCTCGACTATTTGTAAGAACAATAGGGCTAATATACTTACCCGTGCATCTGGTTGCACAAAAATGATCACCAAAATGTTCAAAGTCTTGTATCTTCAAAACTTTCAAAGATGTTCAACTGAAACTTTAAATACTTACTCAGTACCACTACTTCTACCACCCAGTCAACCTGCATACCCCTATCACACTGTATTTTGGAGTTATTGGCCCTTGTATAACTTAGAAAAATTGTTGACCAGAAAATATTCAAGTTTTTTTTTCAAAGTCTAACATGTTCAATACTTTCAAAGGTATTCAACTGACACTTGAGATGAATATTCACTCACTACCTCTGCCTTAAGACCTTAGTTATAAGCTATAACTATCGTTTATTTTCCTGATTCATAAAATGAATAACTGAAATTATTATAAGCTATAACTATATGCTTATTTTCCTGATTGTACAAAATTTAAAATGGTAAAAGGCCCTCCAGCATGAATGCTTGCTAAATCAATTCTTGTATGTACTGCAGTGATAAAGTCCTGTTTGGGAGCTTCAGTCTGATCCTTGTTTGATAGTCTTCAATTTTTTATCATGCTTTTGCTATATGTATAAGAAGACTACTTTAACAAAAGTCTACTGAATAGTTTTGCCTACTACTCATGATATTTTTTGATGCTAATGAAATTATTCAATAAATATCTAATCATATATATACCTGCACATTTTGTTATTTTATTTTTATACCCCTCTGTGGAAACACAGACCATGAGTCTTCAAGTGTACCCTTCTTTTTAGCTCATCTGTCACATACTTAAAGGATGAGCTTTTGTGATCATGCGTTGTCCGTCGTCCATGTGTGCATGCGTCCATGGGAAAACTTTTTTAGAACCAGAACAACTAGGGCTTACATGTTGGGCATGTAGCATCACCAGATGAACATCTACTAAAATACTTCAAATCATGATCCCCAGGGTCAAGATGACATGGCCACAGAGGTCAGTAGGTGCAAAATATTGTAAAACAACCTTAAAAAAACTACTTCTCCAACACCAGAACAACTAGGGCTTAGCTTTTTTGCATGTAATATCATCTAATGGACATCTACCAAAATTCTTCAAATCATGATCCCCGGGGTCAAAATGACCCCACCCAAAAGGTCAATAGGTTCAAAATCGTGTAAAATATCAGTAAAAAAATCTTATTCTACAGAACCAGAACAACTAGGGCTTAGATGTTTGGCATGTAGCATCATCAGATGGACATCTACCAAAATACTTCAAATCATGATCCTGGGGTCAATATGACCCTGCCCCATGGGTCAATAGGTGCAAAATTGATGCAAAATAAAGTGTTACAGTACAATACAGTTACACAGTACATTACAGAACATTTGTGTCTATGATAAATCTTGGTAGGTTGGTTAGTAATGACTAGCTGATTATCACTATTGAGTTTTAGGTCAAAAGGTCAAGGTTCCTGGGACCCCATGAAGTAAAATTGTTTCCAGATGATAAGTGAAGAAAGCTTGAGCCTATTATCATGAAACTTGGAAGGGAGGTTAGTCATGACTAGTCTATGAATCCTGTTGAGTTTGAGGTCAGTAGGTCAATGGTCAAGGTCACTGGGACCTGTAGCAGTAAAATGTTTTACAGATAACTCAATGATGCTTGGGCTCCTGAAACCTGATAGGGGGTTGTTTATCACTAGTAGATGACCCTTATTGATTTGAGGTCAGTAGTATTTAAAGGTCAAGGTCCCAGGGTGGTCCCGTTATAGTCAAACAGTTTTCTGATGATTATTCAAGAATGTTTGGATATATGATGACAAGGTGACACAGGTGAGCGATTCAGGGCCATCATGGCCCTCTTTGTTTCTGAATGAAGCTTTTAATTTACACATATACTCTTTTCCATGAAGCAAAAAAGGACTTCACTGTAAAGGTTTTTGATTTTGCAAGGTCAGTATCAACTCCTTGTTCATAGTACTCAATACAGCTCAGTAAAGGTGTCCTATGGACAAAGTTGTTATCAATATTCTGCCAAACATACGTCTTCAGCCTACATTTTCAGTACTTTGTATTTCACACTGACAGGCAATTAAAGAAGTATTTAGTTGGCAAGGACTCTACATTTGTGTGTTTAATCTATATTTGAACTTGTAGTGGGAGTTGTCATGTGAATGCCACTTGGTCGAAGTAATGTAACAACAGAGAAAAACATGTAACTATTCATTTAATGTAATTTGATTAAAATTACAAAGCAGGTGTAGCCTCAGGTTGCTCAAGATACATGTTACTACAGCGACAACTAGAAACAGGTTTTTTTATTGAACAAAAACATGTCTCCCCAGGGATTTGACCTTTGACATCTGAGTGTGACCTTAACCTTATGTCATAAGCCTAGGAATGTGGGTGATGAATGTCACCTTCTTGTAGGAGCATCAGATTAAAGTTTGATAAAAATCTTTAAAGCATTTGTCCTCTGAGTGTGACCTTGACCTTTGGAGATTAGACCTTAGACTGTAGGTCCAACATATGTTTTGAAGATGTCAACATCTGAGCCAAATTAAAATCCCTCAAAGCCTTTGGAGGATTGACCTTTGACCCGTAGTATGACCTTGACCTCTGGAAATTGACCTTGAAGTGGGTTTTCCACATCACATTGTATAGGTGAACATGAGATCCAAGTTTCATAAAAATCCTTCAAGACCTCTTGAAGATATAGAGCAAACACAATTTTGACCTTTGACCTCAGTGTGACCTTGCCCTTAGTGATTTAAAACCAATAAGTTTTTTAAAAAGCATGAGCCTTGTTTCGGGTAAAACATTTTGCCCCAAGTTTCTTTCCCAAATTTCCAAAAATTTTAAAAATTTTGCCTTTGCCCTCTGAGTGTGATTTTTGACCTGGGAACCTGACGGGAAACCCTTTGCATGTTCCCTTTTGTTAAAATTTGAACATCAAATCTGAGTTTCATCAAAGCCTTTGGAAGATAAAAAGTGGAATTTTCTTTATAACATTTGACGTTTGAGTGTGACCTTGAGAAATGAGACCTAGAAGTAGGTTCTGCAAGTAAGTGAACATCTAGCTAGCTGGCTTAAGTTTCATAAAAATCCTTCATGGACTTTGGAAGATACAAAGCAGATTTTTTGTTACACTTGACCTTTGCCCAGATGTCAGTGTGATCTTGACAGAAACCGAGGGAAAAACAGTATGTCTTCCCCAGAATTTCTGGAGGGAGACATAACACTTTTCATTTTATTTAAATTAGAAAAATTTATACAATACTAATTCATTTATAACTGGAGAGAGTCGACACTAAATGCAGTATCCTACTGCTCAATTATACATTTGTATGTCCCATTCATGTTTCCAGTACTCGACTGATTCGTAGAGTAAGAGCTAGTATATGTTTCTTTTTATGCAGTGTCGATGTTTACTACATTTCAAATTAACTACATGTAGAAGTTCTACATGTAAACAATTCTTAAAAAATATCAGACATATCTCAAAAACCTTGAGGTATCTGAATACAGAATATCCTTTCGAGTGTGAAGTGGCAATATAAGTATATAAATTAAAACTTGATTAGAAAACTGCCTGCATAGATTCATGTTTTGCTATGTTGTTGTGCAATAATAAACAACAATAAAAATAATGACTGTAATAAGCCATACATGTAATGTATAAATAGGTTTACATGTAGTTTAAATACCATTTTCTTTTTCATGAAATTTCGTGTAGAATGCTCCAACAATTATTGTTTACAAAGTTTGGGACTTGATGACAGACAGCAACTAAACAAAATCAAAAGTACCTGTCAAAGCCATGTAAGTGTCTTTGAAAAGGTCACTGTAAAAAGAGGTCTTGCTATAGTAACAAAATTTGTAACAACAACCTTTTAAAAGTAAGACAGAAAACAGGAAATACAGTGGCACATTTTAAAAATTTCCCATTGAAAGTACATTATTACTTTACATGGCTGTTACGTTTATTTGGCAGGTTACTTGAAAACATGGCATTTTCTATCTTAAATAGGTTAATTATTAATGTATCCAGTGAAAAAAAAATTATAAATGTATCCTGTTGAGTTAAAATTACCATTGTTGAGTAAAAATTATCAATGTATCCTGTTGAATTACAATAACCATTTTATCTTGTTAAGAAAAAATTACCAATGTATCCTGTTGCATAAAAACTATTAATGAATACTGTCAAGTAACAATAACTCTTTATGTCATGTGATAACCTGCTGTGAAATTTATTTTAGGTGCCTGGTTTTCTGTATATATCGGTTACTGTCCTTGATTACGGTTTGAAATATAAATCACACCCCACTTATGGAATGGAACGGTTCAACCTTGACAAGATGATAATTATGAGCTGCGTCACGACAAAACCAACGTAATGCGTAATGCATCGGCGCAGTCTGATCAGGATCCATACTGTTCGCTTACCAACTCTATTACAAGTAGAGATAGCGAACAGCATGGATCCTGATCAGACTGCACAGATGTGCAGGCTGGTCTGGATCCATGCTGGTCACAAACTCATTACGTTGGTTTTGTTGTGACACGGCTCATATCAACTTCTGGTATCGGTTCAGTTTACATTTTATGCCTACAGTGGCCATTCCGTCTATCACAATTATTTGGATGTACCGGTAATGTTTATGTACAGTCTTCATAACATGCTGTCAAGTTACAATGTGTTCTGTCATAACTGTCAAATTTCTTGTTAAACTTTTTTTCATGTTAGTTTTTTATGTTTTTGTTTTTGAATATCCAAGAATAGCAAGTGTTATAATCAAAGCATTGTAATAGATTTATTTGAATGTTAAACAAAAAATGCAAATAATGCTGTTCCAAATTTTATGTTGTTTCTTATGTGAAGGTGTGTTTTTATTATTGTTATCTTGTTGATATTTAAAGACTTGTATATGTGTGTACTTGAAAAATGATGTAAATATCACATTTCTATAAACAGCCATTCCATTGGTGTATTGTAAATGTTTATTATACATTCTAAGATATAGTCTGTTGAGATACTGCTATGTGGAAATATTAAAAATATCAATTCAATTTGACTTTTGTTGTAAGTCGTTGAATTTTTAAACGCTTTCATTAGGTAGCTGTGCTAATTGTTAACATGTATAATGCAAGATTTTAGAAAAATTTAAGAATTGTTTTGAACACTTTTGATGTATATATTACTATTTTATTTTCAAGTTAGAAGGCAAAATTACTGCTGTTTGAAGTTATTATTTCTGAAACGTGTTCACCGCTTACAGATTTCTCTTAGATCACAAAAATCTCTTGGGTCGCACTGTTCACAAAAGCCTGTTTTTTGTTGGTTTTGTTTTCATCTTTGACCCATGTTGTTTTTGTTGTCATATGTTATAATAAATACATTTTGTGTACAGATTTTAAATTGTAAATTTTTATAAGAATTATTACAAGTTTTCCTCAGCATTCTAGTGACAAATATCATAGTCTTCGTCGTATTATATACTACATGTTCTTTATGCACTTTTATGTTGCGTCTTATTTTATTGGCTAGAAAATAAATCAAGAAAAAGTATGTGTTTTATTTATTAGTTATACATAATAAATGTGTACCAAAGTACAATTTTGTGAAGAACTGTACAAGCATATATGAACCCTTACTTTTCTGGAACCCAAATTGTTTAATCTTTCAGTCCAGGAATGTAGCCAGGCACACAAA